CTGTTTATATGCTGCTGACTTTAGGAAACCTGAAATGTGCATGCATATGATATGCAAGAATCATAGTTTTAACATAACTTGCAAAAATAAAAATAAAAACCCTTCTCACTAAGATAAAGGGAGACAAAAGGGATTTTTTAAAAAAATGTGCAGAGAAGTTTGACCTTGAGATTTTCAGAAAACTCTGTTACCTCTGTTCTCTTGCAAGATTTTGCGTGCCTATTGGCAGGTGCTTTTGTTTGGCAGACTGGCTTCTACAGCCTTACCAAAAAAGTACTAATTGCCTTTTCCTTTTTTTTACCAATCCACCTGCCTTTAGATCCCTGTGTTAGCCAATAAAATGGGGAAAGCAACTGTTTAAAAGCTTCCATAGCTGGTACCCGAGAGCAGATTCTTACCTATGCGGCTATTCGGAGTTCTAGATTCCTGCAGAACAATAACATCATTCCCCTGCACATTTATAGTTGTTTGTGGGCCTTTGTCACCTGGTTCATTTCCTCTGTTTTAGTCAGCTTTGCACAGGGTTCCAAAAGCTACTAAAACACATGATGTTCTTTGACTTCAGCAACTTTTGGATGAGGATCTAAACAGACTAACACAGTTTGAAAAACTTCAAGAAATTAAAAGAATGAGTTTTCATGACGGCAAATAGCTTAGCAATAAAAATAGGACATGAATTGCAAGATATGGCTTGTGAGATGTGTGAACCAAGGAGTTTAATTAATAGTTATTATACAAATGGGACATCTTGACTTGAACATCATACTTCAAAATTCCAAAATGTCTTAATAAAAATACTTGACTTGTTACATTGGTATCTCAGTTTTTTGGGTGGTCTCCCATCCAAAAACTGCCCAGGTTCATACTTGCTTAGCTTTACAGTTGGGTGTTTTCAAGACTTCTCTGTTTTAGACACATGTTATATCAAGCTTTTGTTGTTTGTGTTGATTTTGGCTTCATTTTAATCAGCGCAGCCAATTCTTGCTTCTTTCCTTCCTAAGTTTAGTTTCATTTTTGGAGGCTATGTGGGGGGAGCTTTCTTCCAATCCTCCTGTTGTGAAGATAAAATAATGTGTAGCCTTTAGGCGGAACTAAACCCATAAACTACAAGGTTACTAAAAACACGAGACCATTGCCAAGAAAAGCAACCCATGTCTAGTTTCTTCATAATGTGAACTATGTGATGTGACGTTACAGTGTCGTGAGTGTTCAGCATCAGGGGTAGGAACTGGTGGCCTTCCAATGGTTGTTGGGCTCCAACTCCCATCAGCCTCAGCCAGCATGGCCAATCGTCAGAGATGATGGGACTTGTATTCCAGCCACATCTGGAGGGCCACATGTTTCCCACTCCTGTGCCACTTCATTGCAACATGGGAAACATATGGAATGATGATGTCATAGCACACATTTCACGACTACATATTTCAGAGGACAAGAGACATCAAGCATGGGGTTGCTATTTTCAGTAGCTATCCTGTGTTTTGATAGCATATAGCTGTAATGGCGTGGGTCTCTCCCACAGAAGTGAGACAACTCCGGCAGTAATTATCTCAGATTTATTGCTTAAACACGTAAATCACTGCGGAGCTCAGTCCTCGGCGTCTTCTCCCAAGTTTGCTGTTGCCAAGTCTGAGCTCCGTCTCTTCCTCCCCCAGCAACGAAACCCCCACTTTCTTTTCCCCGCCTCTTGCATATTCTCGTGAGTCTATGCGTTTTTGGACAGGCTATTTCTGGTGCCCCTGCTGCTGAGCCTGAACTGGAACTGACAGTTTGTGTTTCCCCCCTTGGACTCCCCCCTTCCTGCTCTTTGCTTCAGGTTACAGACTCCGCTAACCCAGAAATAGTACCTCAGGTTAAGAACTTTGCTACAGGATGAGAACAGAAATTGCGCGGCGGCAGCGGGAGGCCCCATTAGCTAAAGTGGTGCTTCAGGTTAAGAACAGTTTCAGGTTAAGAACGGACCTCCAGAATGAATTATGTTCTTAACCTGAAGTACCATTGTACACAGAGATTAGGTTTCTACTGCAGCTGGCTGCCCTTCCTCCGGTTTACACTCCAGGCTTATCTCGTCTCCTTGACTCTCAGGGCGCGTAGCCTCTGCTAGCTGTGTCTCGTATCTGACAATAGCCTACCCCCCCCCCTTTTATCAAAATGCTCACAGTAGAATGCGACATTATACTGAATGGTGAAATCTGGGCTGACTTCAAGGGTCAGCCGTGTCAGGCACTAGAGGAGGACTGCACTCCAGCAAGATGCCTACTGCCAGCTCCCAGAGCACCCATTGTACTACCGCTTCCCCTTTTGGATATTGCTGGCTGTTCACCTGCCCCCTCCAAGCAAGCGAGAGCAACAGGTAAAACAGAACATCAGACAGTGGCACAGACTGGGCTGAGAGGGAGAGCAAGAAAACAGCCAGTGGTGAGAGGAGGGAGACCTGAGGGCATTTTGTCCATAAAACTTGGAGCTGGGTTAACAGATCTTCTGGAGTTTAATAGTGTCCCCCAACCCTACTGTTTTCCCATTTATTTGCTCTTATGGGCTCAGAGTAGCTTCTGTATGGTTCCCAGATGATCTCCCATCCGGCACCTTGAAGTACCAGACTTATTCAGTTTAATCCATAAAACTACGCCATGTACCTTCAGACCATTCCTGGGCACCCCCTATTAAAAAGTATACTGTATTTGGTTTCACTATGATCGTTCTCCTCTTGGTAGGGGTGTTTGATTAATTTCCCCTTGTTTCTTGCCTTCTGCCTAGGTGGAAGGGGACCAACTGCCCCCAGGGCATACAGTCAGCCAATATGAGACATGCAAGATCAGGACAATAAAAGCTGGCACTCTGGAGAAGCTTGTGGAGAACCTTCTAACAGCCTTTGGGGACAATGACTTCACCTACATCAGTATATTTCTGTCCACATACAGGGGCTTTGCATCTACAAAAGAAGTTCTGGAACTTCTCCTTGATCGGTAAGATTGAAAGGCTATTTTCAGTCAAAAATAGTTTTAAATCATGCCATACAAACTGTCACAAGGGATTAACCACAACAGATTTGTAGATGCATGTAATGAGGTGAAGTTTGATTTTTGAATTATTGTTAACTTGAGTGACTTTTAAGATGTATTTTAAAGTAAGGGTCTACTACCACCTACCATTTCAGTTCAACAATTAGCACTGGGACTACTTTGTGCCTTCATGTCGCTTCATTTTTTATTCTGAAGAGAAAGTACAGGCTTTTAGCCCTCATGCTAGTAAGGGAAAATGGAAAAATAAATTTGCTTCTGGGGCGGAGTGTTAGTGTGGTGTATTTATGCCTGACTTAGTCCTCAAATAGCTACATTTTCCCGCCTCCCTATCGCTTTTGGAGTGCAGGTCGCTGCTTTGGAGGAATCACTCATGCAGTCTGAGGTGCTGCCAGGCTTGAGGGGCCTCCTGGAAGCAGCTCATCCAAAAGGCCCCCTGCTACTGCTTCAGGTAGTGGGAGCAGTGTTTTCTAGCACAGTGCTGCTTGCTAGCCACTGACAATTATTTGGGGGGCCTTAGACCTATTGCCTGCTAGTCTGATGGTAATGGTGGCACTGATGACAAGATGGGAAATAAATACTGTACATCTGTCATTTGTCTTTTACAGAAAGAAAAGTGAAGCATGCTTAAGCAGAGAAATAAAGTTACTGGGAATAGTCGCACAGTTTCGCCTTTCCAAGAAACCAAGATGTGTGTTTGTGTGTGTGCGATCTCTAACACAGAATGCCTAGCAACTCACCAAATGGAAATCCTCAGGATTCCTTGGGTGCAGTTACAACACTTAAAGTGGCGTGAAACCAATATAATTTTGAACTGCTGCAGTTAGGGTTTCTGTCTCCTGTTCTTTAATTTGCAGGGCGCTGCTCTGACAGTGCAAGCTGTATGCTTCTGTTCACATTGTGCTTTGCAGGCAGGCACACTTTGGTCACACAGTCAAGAGGACAACTAAACTTGCCTCTTCGTACAGCCTGCTTTGCCAGCTTCACAAAATCCATGTGATTTCCTGTGGTTTGTGCTGTAAATCCAGAGTTGAAAGTGAACAAGATTTTAAAAACAAAACACCAGGAACCAATCCCTTACAGATTCTGTACAAGGGGCCACTGTTAAGGATGAATTTTCATTGCCAGCCATGGCTTTCAATTTCCTTTTGAGGGACATCTTGCATTGCAAGGCAAGGGGGTGATTTGTACGCTGTTCTCCTGAGCAAGGCTGAGCTTCCTGCGGGGAGGTCTGCTTTAGTCATGGTTGGCTGGCTGAGGCACAAAATTGGGGGTGGCTGAGGGAAGCTTGTCGTGCAGCTGTTCATTGTTGTTCCTACTTTGTAGTTTAACAAAGAACATCAGTTTGCAGACTGCCAATCGAGCACTTTCATAAAACGCAAGGCTATATATAGTATGTGCACTCCTTTCAAACAGGGGTTTGACTGTCGGTGGAAAGATGAAAAGAGAAGTACTTTTACAGTGACTGGACCTAAGCAGCCATGCAACAATTGTGGGCTTGATAGCTTTAGCTCCAAATTCAAAGTTGTAACATGTTGGGGTTTTCTTTATAATTAACAAAATGCAAGGAGGTTGTATGTTTCGAGTGGGGTTGCAGATACATGGCTTCTGTTAGCAGAACTAAAGATTAATTCATGACCCCAGTTGAGGAGGGTCACCAGCTTGCCTCTGGCGGTGGGTTTATGGGGAGGGTCTTTCTGGGACCTGCTGTTTTGTTTTGTTTCCTCCATTTTTAAAGCAGCATAACAGCATGCTACAAACCCAGAAAAAAACTTTTTTTAAAAAATGAAATAGTGAAAAAGCAAAATAATGTCTCAACACATACCAAATCATAATTATTAAATCAACATTTTAAATAGAATTGAATCATTCTACAAAGTCAGTAATGGCTCTGTTTAAAATATATTTAATCTTTTATAGCAAGAGGCTGGGTGAGTTTGTTGGTTGTTGTTAATATTAGAATATTTCTTAATCTTCACAGCCTTCCCTTAGACATCCGGTAGAGCATGAGACTCTTAATCTCAGGGTTGTGGGTTTGAGCCCCACATTGGATGAAATCTTCCTGCTTTGCAAGGGGTTGGACTAGATGACCCTCATGGTCCCTCCCAACTCCACAATTCTTTGATTCTATGATCCCACTAATAAACAATAATGACCCCACTTCTGTTTCTAGGTGTAATGATAAAATCTGTGTCCCTTTAAATAATAATTCCTTCTGTGAATTTAAAATTAAATCTCTCTGGAATCTTAAACGCACTTACTTCGGAATAAGTTTTATTGAACTCAGTGGGACTTTCTTCTGCATAAATGTATATAGGTTTGCATAGTAAGTTATTTTATAGCACTTAACAAATATCCCTGAACCATATGAAGTAGAAAATCCCTTAATTTATATTCTTTTTAGTCATAATTTGAACCAGCTCCATAAAATGTCCTTAATAGCTCTGGGGTTAAATGCTACCACAATGGGTTTTAAAGAAAAAGAAGTCCCACATTTTATATTTATATGCTCCTTTTTCTTCTAAAAATGATGCACTGGAATGATTATTGGAAACCAATAATGTTCAAACAGTCTCGTATTAAGTGGTTCAGGGATACCAAAACAAAACATCTGTTTTACGAAGTTTCTCTGTGAGACTCTTGGCAGAGAAGAGACTGTGAGCAGGTTCAGTTAGTGAGCCCCACAACAGAAGCCTGCACAAGGACTTCCACTGTTGCAACACCCCTCTGCCCCCTCTGCACCCTCTCCCCACGCCCCTGAAATTGGCTGGTGGGGGCCAGGAAAACCCATGGAACAGAACAGCGCAAGGCAGGAGAATAGGGTGGATCATTACATTTAATGGGGCTCCTTAGGGCCCTAAGTAATGTTAATCAAACTGTGATAAATGGCCAACAGTAAGAATCATATGACTTCCAAAGCATTCTGCCATATAAATGCAGTCGGAAAAGAGGCCCTTCCCACAGGCTTTATGGGCAGACAGGCAAAAAAGAGTAAAAAAAATGGTGAGAGTCACCATAGGAAATGAAATGAAGAGAAATTAACTAATGGGTAAAAGCTAAAGATAACATGTTTCTTCAAATTCAGGCTAAAAACCAAAAACTGATGGGGACAAGTTCTAATCTCAGGAAGCAAGGCATTCCAGAGATAAGGTTAAAACAAGGGAGGAGGGTCAGAAACAAGATGAGATTTTGGGTTTGACAAGAAGTCAAGTACCTTTAGAGAGGGAAGTATGAAGAGAGCAAAAAGATAAGGAGCCAGAACTTGCAGACATTTCTAAGTTAAAAGAAGTTTATTAAACCCTATTGGGAAATCAAATCAGTGTAGAGCAGTAAGGAGAGGGAAAGCATGAGGTTAATAGGAAGAGGAGGAGGAAGGAAGGGACTTTCAGAAGTTTAAAATTGAGGAGAAATCAGGTTGACGGTAAGGATAGGAAAGACCATCTTTCAGAGCATTGCAAGGATCAGGTGGTATAGGCAGATTGTGAGAATTAAGCAGAATAGTTATTGTATCAGTTTGAAAGAAAAGGCTGCATACACGTTTACCTGTGAGTGAATCCTATTGAACTCTACAGGTGTTCCAAGATTTAGGGAAGTCTCCGTGTGTCTCCTCCTCTGAGGACACCCACATTAATATGGGTTAATGGCCAGGAAGAGCCATGTGGCATCAGGGGGAGTGGAAAGAGCAGGACCCTGGTCAGCTGGGTTTCCTCTGATTGTGTCATAATAAGAAGTATGTCTCCATCAGAGGCAGATGGATGTTGACTGTGAAGGAACAGGATACCCTTTGTTGCCGCCATAGAACTTGTAAAGCATTGTGCTTTTAGCGGAGTGAAACAGCACCACCATCTTCTCTAAATTTCCAGCTTTTTCTCTAGCCCCTTTATCTGCAGAGATATATGGAGAAATCCAAAATTCACAGTAGGACCATATCTGTATTAGGATTAACTAAAATGTCATAAAACAGTGAACAATCTTTCAAGTTCTCCAGAATTCTTCATCAAGCAAGATGTTTTAGTGGGGAAAGGAGGGGGAGGCTGGGAGTGCTGTAGTCACTCCCCAAGTCTGAAGCTCTTGAGCTAAAATGCAGGGCTTTTTTGTAGGCATAATTTGTTTCGTTTCTCAAGATGCAAGGCAGATTGTCAGATGTTTTCAGGACAGGACACATTTTTAAAATTAAAATCTAGTAGCCATTCAGTTCTGCCTCCAGCCTTAAGGTCTTTGGGGAGCCAGAGGGCACAAGTAAAGGGGTGTGTGGCAGTCTTTGTATTAGCAAAGCTGGATATTATTTTTTAAGTGGTGTGCCAGGTAAAAGTCAGCTGGAACAAAAACTGGGTACCATTATCTAGTGTTTGGAGGACACTGAATGCTGAAATGGTGAAGTTTCTGCCAGATAAAAGAGTACTGGAGAACTGAAAAGCTTGCTCCCTGTTGTGCAATATTTTTGTTAGTCTTACTAATGGAATTTCCCTATTGTGGAATTTGTTTTTTTAATGAGTCAGCACAGCTACCTATGCTTTTGATAACAGGGAAATGTGCAAGCAGTGTTTCTGTTTTTCTATTGGCTCTTGGTGGATGGAGAGGGAAAGTGGGAAAGAAGGCTGGATCTGAAGCTTGCCCCAGAATCCATTTATCTGCTTAAACTCTTGTCAAAGTTGAATTTCTAAAACTCAAATCCTCTACTCATTTACAGTATGAGGAAGCAAGTCCCCAAGGAGGTTTACTTCTGGTTAGTCTTGTATAAGATTGCATTCTAAGTAATTTTAACCATATCAGACATACTTATTTTTTTTGCTATCCCACATTGAGTTATAAAGGCCCATCTGCACACCTGGAAGTTCTTTCACTATAGAATTTTGTACTACAGTCCTGCTTTGTTCCTCTTGATACAGTTCCTAATCTGAAAATCAAAATTGCCTCAGTCAGGAGACTTTAATTGGTAGAACAGGCTTTAGGGAGCAACTTGTTAGCATTTCTCTTTCTATTATACACAAATGGGGCATAAAAGCAGGAGTTGCTATCTTTGCAATGCAGTTGATGCAGCTTCAAATGATGATTTGGTCATCCGCCTTACCTGTCCTCCTGGTACTTCAGGTGGGCTATCAAGTTTTTAAAATATGTTTCCTGAAAGTGCCACTTATATGTTCATACAGTTCTAAAGTAAAGGTAAAGGAACCCCTGACCATTAGGTCCAGTCATGAATAACTCTGGGGTTGTGGCGCTCATCTCACTTTATTGGCCGAGGGAGCTGGCATACAGCTTCCGGGTCATGTGGCCAGCATGACTAAGCCGCTTCTGGTGAACCAGAGCAGCGCACGGAAACGCCGTCTATCTTCCCACCGGAGTGGTACCTATTTATCTACTTGCACTTTGATGTGTTTTCGAACTGCTAGGTGGGCAGGAGCAGGGACCGAGCAACGGGAGCTTACCCCGTTGCAGGGATTCGAACCGCCGACCTTCTGATCGGCAAGTCCTAGGCTCTGTGGTTTAACCCACAGCGCCACCCATGTCCCGCAGTTCTAAAACTCACTCTTTAAAACAAAGTGGCCAAATTGCCTGATGAAAGTAGATTCATTATGTCACAGGTGCCTGCCAGTCAAAGTTGTGCACAGACAGAATCTGATGCAAACTGGAAACTGATATCACCCTAATTTGAACTTGGGGAAAATTTGTCTTTATTGCAGTGTGCTTCATGGGTGTAGCCAAAGGGAGGCAGGGAGGGGCAGCTGCCACCCCCATCAAGTAAAACAGAAGGAATACTTAACTAACCAATCACAATGGTTCTGCCCCCACTAACAAAAGTCCTGCCCTCCCCAACAAAAGTCCTGGCCGCACCCATGGTGTGCGTCTATAGTTGTCTTACTTCTCAATAGTGTTTCATTTGCTCTCAACCTAAAATAATTCTATTTCATTTCATTCTAGCTCATGTTTTCTCTTACATATCCCTCTGCAAATTTAGGGGTGCTTCATGACATCACGTAGCAGCCTTGGTATGCCACTGACTGTGCACTAGACAGTGGCAGGGAGCCACAGCTAATCCCCACAGTTTGAAGCAACCCTTAATAAAGAAAATGTTCTGGTTTGTCAGTATGGAAGATTCTTTACCATGTAGTAGTTTTGAGAACAAGTTATTCTCTAATTGCATGCTGCATTCTTTGATTCATATACAAATGTGGGAAGATGTGTGTGAGTGGGGAGGGGGGACCCAGTAGCTCAGGGGGCGCAAGCAAGGCATGCTGTTTCCCGCCTATTTGTCCTCAGTGTGACATGGAAAGCTCAGGTCCTGCTGCCAGCAGAGAGTGCCTCAATACCTTAAGTTCATAGCACACAGTCTTCTCACAGCGAGAGGCACCGGATCACACTAAACAGACATTAAGTGTGTCCAACGCAGTGGTCATGTGCTTGTTCTGCAATTCCATAGATAACACCATAAAAATTTAGTACTGATTTATACCCAATGCACTTTACAACAGAAGAAAGTGATGCTGCAGAAAAGGGATAAAAAAAATGTTCAGAGTTGAATCATTGTCAGACACACATTGCTTACTTGATACAAAATGCATAACTATATGAAACATGGATGGGGAACCTGCAGCCACACACAGCCTGATGTTGATGAACAACTCCCATCATCCTTGACCATTGGTCATGCTGGCTGGGGCTTATGGGAGTTGGAGTCTGACAACATTTGGAGAGCCACAGGTTCCCCATCTCAGATATATTGCATATGTAAGCATGTAATAATAAAGATATATAAACTGTAGTGAAAGTATGTTAATGTTAATTCAAATTCTGCATTGGTTAGGAAAGTTAGTACCAAGCTCTTCATTCCTTATGTATATAATTGATTTGCTACATTAGCTTTTAGAAGTTTGCCTGCTGTTTGTGGAAGACTTTTAAGCACTTATTTTATGCATTGATACTTCCCTGGAGCCCTTGGAACAGTCAGAAATAATATATAAATGAATATTTACAGTCCTGTAAAAGAAAGCATGGATGTTTTCATATTCCTGATGGAGAGTTTGTGTAATCAGGTCTTTTAAACAAAATATTTATGTAAAAAAAAGAGTTCACATTTGGAACTACTGAACTATCTACCTGGCTTAGTAACCCTCATGAGATACTGATGGCCAAGAAGCAGCTGGGGGAGGGGGGGACAAGAGAAAGAGGAAAGGCTGCGTTTCACTTTTTTCCTGCCTTTCAGCTCCTTAGCTGGTCCTGTGGAAGCAGCCTTCCAGTGGTGTTAAACTTCCTGTTATTTGCTAGTTAGGGACCAGGGGAGTTTTTAATCAGGTCTTAATATCGGATTCCTTAAACATGGCTCTCCCCTCCACCCACCCTTTTATTTTTAAGCACTGCCTACAGTTTATATTTTCCTGTTGCATTTAGATATGGAAACCTGGAGATCTCAAACTGTGAAGAAGATGGGAGCCAGAACTCTGCTGAGACCAAAACACTACTCAGGAAGTAAGTGTCGCATTTCTCTGAACAGCAAAAATCACAGCCAGAATGGAATACTGAGAAGAGGATGTGGTCAGCTAGTCCTTGGTAAACTTTACATCAATCGGCTTATTGCGTGCTCAGCTGCAGAGCCTCCACCACCCTGGGGCAGTGGCTCTGCATGCAAAGTTTAGGTGGCCTAACAGGGATTTTGTGCAGAGTAGCTGTTTTTTAAGGAGAGTAAGGACATGAGAAGCTGTCTAAGGGCATCCAGCTTGGCTTGGGGCAGGCGGGCTGTTTGTTGCCTGGTGTCCAACTCAATGCCCAGGTAAGACAGGGAAGTGGCAGAACCTTCTGTTTTTTCCGCTGCTAACGGAATGCCAAAGTCAGCAGCCATCTGTTGGAATAAATACAACACATCCTGACAGGAATCTGAACCAGTTGGGCCAATAATCATCTAAATAATGTGTGATATGCCCGGAACAGGACTTAAGCTTAGTGGCCCATTCTACAAATGTGCTGAAGGTTTCAAAGGCTGAGCATGTGATAGAGCACCCCATAGGCATTGCCTTATCCAAGTGCCATTGATCCTGGAATTTGAAGCCTAGCAGGTGAAAGTCACTAGGATGAACAGGAAGCAGGCGAAAGGCCAACTCCATGTTACACTTTGCGAGCAATGCCCCACATCCACACTCCTTGATCAGCTTCATCACATGATCAAAGGAGGCATAACACACAGTACACAATTCCTGAGGGATGACGTCATTTACTGAGCCCTGTTTTGGATGGGACAGATTGTTAATGGCGTCTTCTTGGGAGCAATGGCCAAAGGTGATAGATTGAGGTTATCGAATGGAGCATGAGAGAACGGGCCCACTATTCTGCCTAATTTCCCCCCCTTTAGAATCTTACACCATGCCACCTCTGGCATTTCCCTGACCGATTTTTGAATAGATGAGTTAGTGGGAGGAGGACACCTGCAGCTGGCATACGGAAGCCCTTGCTAAAACCTTTTACCAGTTATTCTACGACCGCTTTTATCAGGATACAAGTGAAGAAAGGGGAGCATGGCAGGTAGGGAGACAGATGCAGCAAGAGAGGCACCACGTCGGGCCACAACCACTGCTCATCGAGGAGGTACGTTAAGCAGCCATTACATAAAGGAAGGCCGCAACTTTGTCGCAACTGTGCAAAGGAGTAAACATCAGAAGCGCTGATTGCCACAAAGGAAGCCAAATGCAGGGACCAATACATGAAGAGGTTTATGAAAAGCAAGATAGCATTACTGATCCTACTAAAGGTTAAGAGCACAAGCTTATGCATGTCTGCTCAGACCTATGTCTTATTGAGACCCTTATAATTCTCTTGGGAGTTCCACTTCATCTAATGGTACATGAAAATACGGATGCTTCCAGATGGGAGTTTATTATGGAATCGGTGGTGCTTATGTCCACAGGTCTTTAGTTTTGTTTTTGTTTTGTTTTGCAGTATTTAAACAAGGCTGTGATCATCAAAGTGCCAACAGAAATGACTTCCTCTTTAAACATTTAATCCAGATTTCCCCTTACCAAGGAAAATCCAATAGGTACATAGGAACATAGCAAGCTGCCTCATACAGAGTCAGGTATTTGGTCCTTCTGACTCAGGACACCCGTGCTTCTCAGACTGTCTGCTGCGAGGACAAACAGTTTATTTTCTCTAGTGGGCCCTGGACTGGATTTGGTCACGGAAGTGGCCCACCCAACCTGGGCTGTAGTGGAGTCAGGGACCAGCACTGGGCTGTGGACCACCACTCTGAGCAGCCCTGACCGGCAGTGGCACTCCGGATTCAGACAGGTACTGAACTTGGGGCCTCCTGCATTCAAAACAGACACTCTCACCACTGAGCTACTGTCCTGTATAACCAATTATACATCTGTAGTCACTGCTGATACAGAGGCATGTTGGCACATTTTGCAGGATTGGTGGTATGTCATGCGTCTGGTGGGTGTCCTCTATTGCCACACTTGTTTGTGCCTTACAATCTAACCATTTTGTTTCTGGCAACTGCCAATATTGGAATCCTATTTCTATTTATTGTTGCATGTTCGGGTTGGGAGAGAGACTCAGGATCTCCATGCTGAAAATGTGGGGGGTTACATGTGTAATTGTGGTGCCTCATTTGTTTTGGGGAGGCTTGGTCCTGGGAGCCAGTGCAGCAGAGTCGCTGTTTGGCTGTTTGGCATGTTCTGCTTGGCTCACAGGGTTCTGCTGCTTGGAAGCCGGGACCAGATTGGGTCTCCCGTTGTCAATCCAGAGGTGGAAGGACTGGCTGCAACCATGACTCTTGCCACCAATCTGCTTTGCAAGCAAAATAAAATAAAATAAAATAAAATTGTTTGCCGATTTGCACCAGCAAGTGAGCACTACTGTTTTGAGCCCATGTTTTCACCTTCAGATAGTCATGCTAAATGTTGAGACTACCGTCCCCAAGGGCTGCATTTGCATATCATGATAAACTGTCTTATCATGACTGGAGTGAGCCTACTCTTCTTAAACTCATGTGCTCTCCTCTCCCTTTTCCTGCTCAACAGCCACAAGGAAGGAATTTGGAAGCTTTTCCTTTGGCTTTCTGTTAACGCTGGTTTTTCATATTGTTCAAACCCAACTAACTGCAGTTAGTCTTAGCTACTGTTTGCTTGAAACAAGGCAACTTAAAACCAAGGCTTGTTTAAATAACCACAGTTAAAATTAACCACAGTTTAAAGTTTAGTCATAATTCTAGAATGTGGTTATTTTATTTTTTCATTAAATGTGTATACCGCCCTTCATTCGAACATCACAGGGCAGTTCACAACAAAAAATACAAAATGAGACCACAAAATACACTATACCTCACTGACTCTAAAACTTAAAATCCTGGCAGTAAGAATAAAACTAGGGGTGGGCGTGTCTATTTCAGGATCTGAAGAGGCTTATAGTCTGTCCTTCTCACCTTTCCAGAAAGAATAGTATGGCTTCAGGCAAATGGATTAACCTTTCAGGCCTTGAGAAATGTACCATCTTGGCATATACCGGTACACTGTGTTTTCCTGTGTAGATCTGACTAGATCTGTTCTTCTCCCTCTGCCCTTTTGTTATGAAGTACTTTGTATCACACGAGACAATTTAAACCTTGTCAGATATGCCTGGGAGACTTTAGCATAATATTGCGGGTACATAAACTGGCTGATAGCCAAAAGGGGCCTGGGCATGACTCCAGACTGAGCCACTGATTCCTGTCTGACTCTGGGCAAGTCTCTTGACCTTCGTATGTTTTGGTCAGTCCAGCTATAATATTGAACTAAATTGCTGCAGATGGGACCCCCGCTTTCTCAGACACAATGGATATGTTTTGCTAGATTTCATGGGAAAATTAGTTGCTGCAGATATGAAACTTGGTGATATGGACTTGCTGCAGAGTGCAATATAAGATACGAAATGGTTTTCGGCCTTGAGTATATGTAAATGAGTATGTGTAGATTGTAGACTCCTAAGAGCAGAAGCTTTTCCTTTTAAAATTCTGGCAAGCTCCAAAGCGCATTGATGGTGCTGTGTAGATAAAACAAAGATAAAGAATCATATTTGCATGTTGCAAAAAGGCAGCACCCGGGGGCCTGGCTCTTGGGTGCATTTATCATATTGCAGAATATTAGAACCTGCAATAGCAATGGCTTTAATGCAACCTTGGGACTCTTTTAACGAAATACCGGTAATTACATTATTTCCTAAAACATAATAGATGGTTAATTTTCCTATCATCCTGTTTATGCTGCTTATTTTTTATTATTAATCCATGCAAAAATACAAATTGTGTTTTTTGTTCCTTTTTTCTTGGCAAAGTGTCTGAGTTTGTGTGGGACTCTAAAGCACGCCCTGCAGGCTATGCCTTGAGCAATCTGAACTGGAGGGGGGTGAGGTGGGCTACCCCATTGGCTTGGCAATATACTAACTTTTCCCAAGGCAAAAGTGACAGAGAACAGTAACTGAGGGTGAGGGCAGCGGTCCATAGCATCCTCCTGCTCACTGCTGCTTGGGTGTAGCAAGGGTTTTTGTTGGGGGGGGGTCAGCTGAACTTTTTTTAGGGGATCCATCAAAGTGGCTGAGCTTTTTTAGGAGATTCCCCCCCAAGTTGTTGAGCATTTTGGGGGATATCAAAAAGAGGACATTACAGGGGCAGGCTTTGGTTGGGGGTGTCAGGCTTTTTCGGGGGGGGGGGTACCACTCTTGGCTAGGCACATGCGCTGGAGCAGACAATACCTCTGAAGCAAGAAGCATACTTCAGTAGGCAATTACCGGCTTACTGACAGTAGCATTATTTTTGTAACACTAAAAGACCAGATCAGGAAGAGTTAAAAATAACAGGGTGCAAACTGAAGTGAAATGGCATTGAGACTGTAGAATCTTAATCCAAACTGGTACCAAGAACTGGATCACATATCTAGTAACAGTCTCTACACAGATTAGATGCATTTCATTCTATTTAGTAATCATTTCTACTGTAGCACCTAGACACATACATTCACATATGCAAACTTAATGTAAACTCTGTCCTGTTTCTGGGAATGTATTCTCTCTTGGCATTGTGTAAGTGGCAATACTAACTGCAGTTGTTTTTTAAAATGATGTTGATGATGATGCACTTTTCAGCTCATGGATTCTTTGTGGGCAGGATCTTTTTTGCCCTTTGTCTCCTCTTGGGTTTATTATTCATCCAGTAAAGCACGGTGTCCTGTTTCAGTGTTACATAAATAATTGCACCAAAGGAATGGACTTAAGAGAAGCAGCCACTGAATGAATGTGAGATGAGTGAAAGCATATTGGCTGAAGGCCTCCAGAGCCTGGGAAACCTGCAGTGGGATATGTTTAAAGTTTTGTTTGTGCTGTTGAATGCAATCAACTTTCATTCTTGCAAAGAGTAAAATAACAAAAGAAACCAATGTGGCTGAAATGAGGAGACAAAGGGCCAAATGGTGGCAATTAAGAGAACGAGAAAATGGGGAAGGTTATAAAAACAAGCCAGATTATTTGCACAATGGGGAAAGGAGGAAAAGTGAGTAATGGCAACAGTGGTTGAGGCATGGTCAATTTAAAAGCAAATATCATTAAAATGTAGAGGCCTGGCACAACATTCAGCAGTCACCCTGGGGACCTAAGTGTACTGTCAGTTGCAATTATGGGGAAACCAGATATTCCATGGATCTTTAGTTTTCATGCATGCCCACATAAAAACCAAGGACCACCATTCTAGAGGAGACCACATACTTTGTGTGTATATGTTACAGATTGAATCCAGAGGTTCTCCCAGCAATGCAGGTGTGGGATTTGGTACTGCAGCAGCAGGCTCCATAGGGCGCAACTTCTTAGATAGGAACGTGTCTTGGAAGATGACAAAACTACAATCTGTAATAGGGTGTGATTATTTTTTAAATGTTCATAGCCATTTGGAGTAGTTGATGGCCACCTGGCGGTATGTGGGCTGAGTTTTGCCCCCAGTACTGGCTGCATTTCAGCCTCCCTATCCTTCCGTATCTGTGCAAGGGAGGAAACTCCCATCTCTCTGGGTGGGCATGCACAATGGAATAACCACCCTCCTCCGCGTTTGATGCACAAAAACTGAAGCAGAGGTTGTGGTAGTTCATTGGCAAGGACATGACTTTCTGCAGGGTACAAAGTGCCAAAGTATATGACTTCCCAAGTTGATCTTATTGTCCGGTCTCGCCTCAAAAAATGAGGCTGCCATAGTCTGGTCTCATTAAAGCACCAAATATCAAACAAAATAAGAGCTAAAGCTAGTTGAGCTTCAAGCTTTTGGAAGCTGGCCTCTTCTTCCTCCCCCTTCCCCCTTCCCCAGCCTTGTTTGTTATTCTCTGTAGAGGGCATTATCAAGAGCTTACTAAAGGGTGGAAGTATTTGTGAAGCACAAAACTCTCAGCCTGCATCTGCAAGCTGTCACCCTCAAAAGCACAGCCAAGAATCAATAGTGTGTTGTGGCCAAGACAATTACTATAAGCTAAACTTTAAGCAAATGAGGACTTCCGGAGGCGGCGCCAGCGGTCGATGGCGGATTTCCTCGGTTAGAGGGAATCAGCGCCACGAAGAAAAGGGTCGAATCCCGCTTCGGCGCAGCGGGGGACCCCTAAAAATCACAGGCGGGGGAAGCCTGTGAGCCTGGGACCCAGCGGGCACATTTGGCGCCCCCCCCAACCCGGTAAAAAGCCCAGAAACGGGCTTGAAATCGGAGCGGGGGAGAGCGCTGTGCTGTGGGCTGTCTGCTCGTTCGTGGTGTGAAGCCGCAAGCTGTTGACCGGAGAGCGCTGCCTTTCTTCCTTAAAATCCGGACCTGAAAATCAACGATCCGTGAGTAGGATATAACCTAAATTGGAACTGTACAAATTGGAAACTGAAATTAGGCCGAAAACGGAAAGAGGCTTAAAAAGGAAGTCAGCCTCTTTTATTGTAGATAAAATAAAGCATTGAACTTGAAAGCGGAAGCATTTGGAAAGTACGTTTTAGCGGACTTTAATCCAATCATCTAACCTGGACTTTTCCCTCTATAAATTGAGGGAAAAAGGGGGAGATTTCTGGAGGTGATTTCTTCATAAAGAGTGGAAAAGAAGAGATTAAACCATCACTCAATTCCCTGGGAAAGGATTTTCCAGATCCTAGGAAAGAAAGAGAGGTACTGTCTTGCAATATATTTTGACAGCTAGTCCTGCACAGGAAATAAAAGTTTGGACAGATTATGTGAATATATATCTCCTGGTCCTAAGTTAAAAATTGCGAATAGACTGTTTTCCTTCTGAATAAACTAGGGGGGCTTAAAAGGAAATTAAAGTATCCAAGAACTTTTATGACTGTTACAGTGTCCCCTAGTGG